TTTGTCCTGAGACATATGTCAGAGAAGCATCATGGAATGACTCTCCCAAATGTGATAGTTATGTGACAGTCCAAAAAAACCCTTCATATAGATTAGAAGGCACCAAAGTGGTTACCTATTGAGGCAATCTTCTCCATAGCATTATTAATTGATGGGCATTGAAATATAGCTTAACAATTTCTAGGGATAGTAAACAGAGCTTTACCAACTTAATGTTTAACCTTAAACTAACAATGTAATTTTCTCTCATGGTCCAATTTCTATTTTTTGGATGTTTAAATGTCTTCCCTCTTCAAACTTAAATACAAAGTATTATCCATCCCAATAACTAGGCCATGGAATCTTGACCTTCCAACATCCAGACTACCCACCTTTGGATGCAAGGTGTCTTGCTCTGGGATTTCTTCTATATGTTTATGTGCTTTATATCTATTTAGAGACTTCTAACTGCAGAGACAAACCCTTCAGTTCTGGCAGATTTTCTTATGTTTTCTTTTATAATTTATTTGCCTACTAGTATGTTTCCCTTACTCTATCTTTAGGGATCTTTTATATTCAGACATGGGATTCCTAAATTAATCCTTTAAATTTCTTAACTTGCAATTTTCTAACTTTGGGTCTTATTTTGGATATTTTTTTGTGGATATTTCTTTTCTTCTCTTTCTTTCTTTCTTTCTTTCTTTCTTTCTTTCTTTCTTTCTTTCTTTTTTTTTTTTTTTTGTCAACTAATGTATAAATTTATTTTTGCTAGTCCTAAAATATTCTAGGAGCCCTTTCTTCTTTTTTGTTTTGTTTTCTCTATATACTTTCTGTTTTTCTCAAAATTCCTTTTTATGTTTATTTTATTTCTCTCATAGTGAAAGTTCTTCTCAAGTATATCTATTTTTGACTTTCCTTTAGTAATCATTTTTTTATTTTTCTCTCCCTCACTCTTTTTGTGCTATAAATTTTGTATCTGTAGTCCTAAAATCTAGAGCTCTCCCAACTTAATACATTTAAAGGGAATAAAGTCTGGTCTCCGGTTATTGTGGTGGATTGGTGGAATGTGGAGAGAGCGAACAACGTCCTGGCTTGAGAGATGACTGAGGAGTTCCAAGCTTGTGCAACTTTCAGTTTTAATCAAGACAATCATTGGCCAAGTGATCACCCTACTTGTGAAACAGGTATTTCCTTAGCTATGCAGAAAATAGAGAGGATTCTTGGTGCCTAACTGCTCTGTATACAAAATTTTCACCAATACCCTCACACTTCCTATGGTGGCTGGCACCTCCACATGGTTTAACATGCTTCGTTTTTGTTTTGGCCTCTCCACAAACTTGGTTTGTATTTCATAGTCTTCTTTTTCTGGAAAACACTTCACTCTCTTTCCATATAAAAATTATTGCAAAATATCATCAATTTAACCTTCCGCCCTCCCTGTTGTCTTTGCCCTTGCTAACTTCTTTTGTGGTCCTATAGTGCCTTTTAGTATGGGGGAACAAGTAGAAATAGTCAACTGAGCATTTTAAACTGAAAGTCAAGTTACTTCATTCTTCTTTTCCCTTTACTATAACATCCTGAGTGAGGGGTCAACTCTCTGATTTTCAGGAATCTTGATTCTCCTGATGCTTTACCCCCTATGTTACAGCCCTGGACTGAGGGCACATAGAAGTTATTAGGTAAGCATATATAGTGAATGTGGTGCCATTTGGAGAGAACCAGTTATGAACTAGAGAACTAGAACTGCATTTTGGTGGAGAGGAATGGGAAAGGGTTGAAAAAAGAGTAGCTTTAGGAAAGGTTCCTCCTCTGATCTCTCTCTCTGGTGCATAAGGAGGCATGGAGAGAGGATATAGGAATAGTTCTGGTCGCAGAAACTTGGGAAATACCCTCATTTCTTGGTCTAGGCGGAGCTTGGCAAAAGGTTCAGGGAAAGTAGAAAAAGGAATAGTCATAAATTGCCCCTAAATAGTGCAAGGAACCAAGGTGGCTCACGTCCAACGTCAATGCCATTGACACTATGATTAGAGAAGAAGCTTTTTTCATAACATGTAACACAGACATCTCAATGCAGGCCTGCCCTCTGACTCAAGACTGCTGATGTTGCACAAGGAAGTGGAGTATGGGTTACACTTACATGTATGTGCTCACATGCATAAATCATAGGAACTTAATTTACAGAGGTTACTCTCTAGTTAACATACAGCTGTTCAATGCTTCATTAACATCTCCAAATGCCAATAGACAATAGGTAAAGATTTCTCCATCTCTGAGCGTCTCTAAATATCAGGAGGCATCTCTAAATCAGGAAAAATATTTTTCTCCGCCTGCAAAGTTTCTTTGCACTGAAACACAAGGGACCAATTATTTCCTCACTTTGAAAACTTTGTAATAACTTAAAGCAATTATCTCCTTCTTAGATGGCATAAACTTTCACTCGACTTGTACTAATACATCAGGGCACAAGATCATTCAGAATTTCCTCTTGACAGATTCTTTGCTGCAACTCTCCTAACCTGTGAATCATGGCCCCCTCCCTATCATAAGCCAAGCACACAAACCTTTCATTCCTACTCTCCTCTTCTAAAGTGATAAAGTTCTTGACTTCTGGGTTTGGAAATTGGTTTAAGATAAACAAATCACTCTATCATCATCAGAATCATATAGAAACAACTGTGTCTCAGATCTAGATTAATATAAAATAAGTGTTTTATACCTTCTACTTAGCTCTTCCTGAGAAAGTCCACAACTTAAGAGCTGTGTCTGTATGTAAAAGTCAAACCACCCTGGGATTGAAAAGTGCCCAGAATTGTGGGATGAGTTCCTTCTCTATACTATGCAGAGAAGAAATGAGGCAACAGAACTTTGGGAAAGGAAACCAACAAAATACATTTGAGCCAGAAAAGAATAGGGAGCTTTACATGTAGGACACAAAGCACAGGACATATGGGGAAATGATTCAAAACCTAGAATTAAGTAATCATTCAAATCTGCAATTGGAGAATATTTTTTCTAGCATTTTCTGTTTAGAAATCTAAATATTACATATATTATTTTTACATTTGGTTTTTTAAAGTTTTACTGTGAAATATGTCATAACTTAGAAAAGCATATGTGTTTGCGCACACACTGGGTAGATCAAAAGTAGATTTACAGTTGTGACTATGAAAAACAAAGAGTTTATTCTTGTATTATTATTATTATTATTAACTAATTATTATATTATTTTCCACACAAAGAACTGTGAACCTACTTTTGCTCCAGCCTATATATGTATATATAAGAAATTAAATTTTAAGATAATTGAATGAAATTTTTAGATAAAAAAATGAATTTTCAAGTTAACAAACAACCATGTTAAAAATCATGGCCGTGACTTAAAAGATAAGACTTTTGTTGCACACAGACTATTTGATAATTATAAGATGCAGCTCCAAAAATAAATAAGTACTTTCTGGTTTATTAAAGAATTCATAAGAACTTCTCCATGTAAAAGCATTAGGGAATGAGAATCCTCCCAATCCCAGCATGCACCCTTGTCTCTCAATTCACAGGATATCCTGGCCCCAACTGACCTGCCATCTTGTTTACTGTTCATTTTTATCACCAACCTTTCCATCCACAGTGGCCTTAACTGTCTTCTATGCTTGTTATGCTATGCTCTGCAAAATACTTTTAAACAGTTGTAAGAAAGTATCCCTAACCAACCCCACGCAGATATGGTTATTCTATCCTATGATTCTTCAAGACAAGGTTCTATTCCCATTGTATTCATTTTAAAGTGGGTTTGGTTTTTCCCCCCAATTATATTTATCAGTTTGGGGTTGTTGTTGGGAAGTGGGGTCTAACCAAGACATCTCACAAGAAAAGAGCTATTGTGAGACAAAGTAATGAGTCTTTCCCTAATTTGCTGGCTCCCTGGAGTGGAATACCCAGGTTTTTCATTACTGTTATGATGAAAGCCATCCTCCACCTCTCATTCAATAAAGCTCTGAGATTTCTCATTTCCTTCTGAGATTTTGATGCCTCTGGTCCCCAGATGAAAACAGAGAAGTGGGGTCCAGTAGGAACTTCGATCTGTTCTGTATGGTCTCTACCCTGGAACTAGAATACAGGAAAACCAGGTCTTTGTGAAGGAAGGGAGCAGGGAAAAGAATATAGGAATGTAGCTAACAGAGAAAGGAGATGAAATGCTCCCTGTCAGGTTGAACAATGTGAGAGGCTGCCTGTTTTCTGCCCTCCATGCAACCTCCCTCAGCCAGGGAAATAGCAAGGTCAACTTTCCCTTGTTACTTTAGTACCAAGAATACAGTTCCACTGCCATCCCACATTTGGGGCTGTCATGATGATATGAGTCATGCCAGGTAAGAAAATGTCTCTTTCCAGACCTTCCCTCCACATCCTGAAGAAGTGTCTGTATGATCATCAGCTCTGAGGTTTGTAAGAGGTCAGGGCTGTAGAATGAGTTCAATCTCACGACTGCCAGTCAAGAACATCTACAGGGAGGGACTATCATTGTCGGGCCTTGTGGAAGAAACCTCAAGAAATGGTTGAAGCCTGAGGCTGGATTTGGGGTCATGCAGAGAAGTAACAGAAGGACCTTTAGGCAGTGAGATCATGAAATCATAAAACAATCTAGGGGAAGATGATCCCAGCACTTAGAATCAATCATTTAGGACAGCTGACAGAAAATGAAGCATCCTTTTCCTTGCTTTTTCCAGTCAAAGATCTGATTGTTCTACAAAAAAAAAAACACACACACACACATTTTGTATATTTACACTTGTCAAATTTATATTGTGAGACATATCATTACAGAAGTATAGATAAATGTATTCATTGCACTTAAAAGTTGATAAAGTGAACTCACATATAGAAATCACCCAGTTACAAAATGGAACACTTCCAGTTTCTTAAAATTCCCTTGTAGATTACAGACTATTTGGTGATGTAAAGGATCATTTCAGATTTGAATTACTTGGTTCCACGATGATGAGTCCATGATTGTCTTTAGGACAGAACTAACCCTGTAGTAGTCCACAGCAGCGTTTCATGACATCTCGAAAGGCCTCGATAAATTTGTCATTCCGGAGAGTGAAGATAAATGGGTTCAGAAAAGGATTCAATACTAAAACCATCACTGATGCTACCCTGTTGTACTCAGCTGCCTGAGTTTGCTTGGGTTTCACATACAGGAACAGGCAGGTGCCATAGCCGATCACAACAACAATGAAGTGGGAGGCACATGTAGAGAAGGCTTTCTTCCGGCCAGAGGCTGAAGGGATCTTGAGGATGGTGGAGATGATGTAAGTGTAGGAGACAATTGTAGGGATCAAAGAACCAACAATAATGAAGACAGCCATTAAAAAAAGAATAAGCTCTGTGAAGAGGCTGTTATCGCAGGATAGTTTGAGCAGCTGCCCTCGGTCACAATAAAAATGGTCTAACACATTTGATTTGCAGAAGGTCAGCTGAAAGGTGGCATAGACTGGCCAGATTTCAGAAAGAAACCCAAACACCCATGACACAATCACCACCCAGATGCAGGTGTGGCTGCTCATGATGATGTTGTACCTCAAAGGGTTACAGACAGCCACATAACGGTCCACAGCCATCATTCCCAGTAATATCAACTCTGATGTGCCCAAGGAAAGGTACAAGTATAGTTGTGCAGCACAGGCAGTCAAAGATATAGCCTGCATTCCAGGGAGCAACAAGCCCCAGAGCATCCAGGGGATGATAACAGATGTGACCAGGATCTCTAGGATAGAGAGGTGGCCAAGGAAAAAATACATGGGGGATTGCAGACGTTTATCAATATAGACAGTCACAATGATGACTATGTTTCCCATTAATGTCACTGAGTAGAGGAAGAAGAAGACAGCAAAGAGGATATTGTGTCGTTCTCTGGAGCCATAGAAACCAAGGAGATAAAAGTCAATGTTGCTAGAGTAATTCTTCAACATTTAGTGCTGTGCTGTTGCTCTTGGTGAAATCTAGAGAAAATACTTTCACAATTTCAAAAGAACTCAGAAAACATCTCCTCTGCTTTTAGGCTCCACGCCATGATCAAGTGGGCCCATCTCCTACTTTTCTCTGTATAAGATTGATGGTAAATGTTTTATGAGAAACATATAATATATGAAGACAGATGTATATGTCCAAGAAGATGAATAATAGTCACCAATATCATATCTAGGCATAAAAACCCACCCACCCCAATATGCACCCTGTCCCTCAATTCACTAGACATTCTACCTCCAACTCTGCTCTAACCTTCCACCTGTCTTGTTACTGGAGCATAAGGCGCTCATTTTTACCACCATTCCCTCCATCCTGAATGCCCAAGCCACATTTCTGCACCTATTATGTCCATGCCCTGCTAAACTGCTACATCTCAGCAGTTACAAGGAAATCTTCCCACCAGACTTGATTACTTCTTTCCTGTGTTTCCTTTAAATGTAGGCTCTATTTTCCTTCTGTTTACCTAAGGTTTTCACTGCACTCTTCTTTATCATCATTTCTGCCTGTTAGTAGGGCTGCTAGCAGGGAAGTTGTTTCTACTCAGGACATTGTCTTAACAATTATTTTGAGACAAACTATTGAGTCTTGTCCTGACTTCTGGGGAGCTGACTCCCTGGAATGGATTATTCACTTCCTTCTCCTTATTGTTATGGTAAAAAGTTATCCTTCACCTCTCACTTCAGTGAATGTGTCTCCTCCAACTAGGAAGAGAATCACCAGCTCCCAGTTGATGATCTTTAGCTCTGAGATTATAATCCTCCTTGCCACCAGATGACAGAGGGGTTTGGGGTCCAGATGTGTGCAGAGGAGGGTTGGACTTTGATCCCCAACTCCCATCTGCCCAGCAGGCCCTCTATTCAGGGAGCAGGCAACAAGAAAGCAGCTAAAGTTTAGAAGCAACATCTGACTTCACCTGGTCTTAAATTTCTAGTTTTGGCAGGGAGACAGGCTTCCTGCCCTGGGCAGCCTGTCCTGATCACCAACCAGGTATGGTCTGAGTTCCACAGAGAATCTTGGGGGGAAAAAAGTCCTACAAATAAGGTAAAATGTAAAATAAATAAATAAATAAATAAATAAATAAATAAATAAATAAATAAAATACCAAATGCATCACATTGATCTTGGGGTCTCTGGACTCCTTTCCTTACCACACATTGATCAAATGTGCCCAGTCCATGGGCACTTCCCCAGGCATCCTCTCTAAAACAGCACATCCACTTACTCCTACTCTACCTCCCATGGGGCTGCATTTTCTGTTTATTGGCTCTTGTCAATAGCTGATATTGAAGTACTTTAAGGGGATTTCTTTGTCTTCCCTATTCACTGTCATATCTCCAGTGCCAAGAATAGACTATGCCCTCTTTTCATGTTTACTCAATAAATAAATCAATGAATGAATCACAAACAAGTCAATGGATAAACAAAGAGTATTCATCCTGACTTGCTCTCTCTCCTATGAAAAGATAGGATGCTCTTTTCACTCCTCACGAAGGCATTGTTTGGTCAATCTGTGGTCTCTGCCTGGAGATCCCTTCAAAATGACAGACATAAAAGCAAACATAAGAGCAATAGGGAGGAGTGAGAGAGCAGGGTACTGAGTGGTGGCAGAGAGCTGTGTTGATTAGCAGCACTCAGAAGAGCAGAGTCTGCTCTCTGCTGTGGCAAAGGAACCTCATATACAGTCATCCACTCTGCAGCTCCTTTAGTCCATGCCTCATGCTCTAGGTGTCCTTGTGCTGAACATTGCCCATCCTGAGCCTCTTCTACTCTGACTTTCACACTCACCTCCAGAGAAAGGGACTTGTCTGTAAAGTTCCACGGCTCTTCAGGGATCACCCCAGGCTACCTGCTGCCTGGCTACTGCTGAGCTTGCTCTGTGGGCTAGAACAAGCTGCCCCTGTCTTCACTTGGGGAAAATCCAGTGGTAACAGTGCTATGGGGATCCCAGTTGTCTCCCTCTCTCTCTCTCCCTCCTGCTTTCCTTCTCTCTGTCCCCGAGGACAATTACTCAATGAGGAACTAAATTTGTTAAGTTCAGAGAAACCCTAGGGATGCAGTCCAGGGAAAGCCAGAGAAACTTTCATTCCCCCCTCCCAAAACTAATCAAACTTTGGAAGAAAGAAAAGTTTCTATAACAGGCAAATTTGATGCCTCCCAGCCAGGAGTTTCTTACTGCACAGGCTGCCTTCGTCCTAGACCCCAAATCCTGGTTATTTTCAAACAGTCCAGGTGATAAATGGCCAGCCTCCTGCTGCCATTTATCCCTGCAGAACCTACTGAACTCTCAAGCAGAAGACCACCAAAACACACATCCAAAAACCCAGTGGCCACCAATATCCTCTGTCAAAAAATTGTTCATCTCATCTTTCCCAGAAATCTGCTCTTCGTCTACCAGATACTCTCTGGCCATAGTTATGGGAGACCTGGTAAGAGAAATAGAGGATCTGCCACCCAAACCAATCTCTCAAGCAGCTCAGGCCTCTGCCCATTCCAGACTCTGTGACAAGCATGCATTCCAGCTGTGGCTGTTCAGCCATATTTTCCCATCTAGGTCTTCAGATGCAACCCAGGCACCTTCCTGAGCTGCTTGAAGTGAGAGGAAAAAGCTGACGAACCAACATACTGAACTGACCCAAAAAAATAGTATATAAAAGCTCTAGATAAAATAGAAAAGTAACATTTAAAATACTTGCGTTTTTAAAAACAACTTTAAGTTTATAAAAAATTAGCACAACTCATTTTAAAAACTAAAATTTATAGAGGAATATTAAACAAAATGCAAATGTCCCTTTCACCCATACCTAATTTTTTCTAATCTATCTCCAACAGGTAAACACTAGTAGGACTTTCCGTTGTGTCCATACAGAACTTTTCTGTACATATACAAGATATCTCTATATAATCTTTACGTGCAATTTTAATATTGATATTGTCCTATTACTTCCTTTTTTGTTATACATATGTGTGCATGTGCATTAAACCTTCCCATGTGAGAACTCATTTATATCTCACATTTCAAGTTATTGTCAAATAAATACTCACCTTATGAAAAAGCCATCATTTACTTAATGAGTAGCCTGCTGATAAACATTGTTTTTCACAAATAAGTGATGCTGCAATAAATATCTGCACATGTAAACCTGTGCATTTGCATAGTTATATCTTCCCAAATAAGCTTAGATAGGTGTCAGATAAGTTTCATTCAGTCATGAGTAATTGTGCTGCTTTTAAAGGGAATAAAGTCTTGTCTCCGGCTATTGTGGTGGGTTGGTGGAATATGGACAGAGCAAACATCGTCATGCTTGAGAGATGACTGAGGAGTTCCGAGCTTGTGCAACTCTCAGTTTTAATTGGGACAATCATTGGCCCAGTGATCACCCTACTTGTGAAACAGGTATTTCCTTAGCTATGCAGAAAATAGAGAGGACTCTTGGTGCCTAACTGCTCTGTATACAAACTTTTCACCAATACCCTCACACTTCCTATGGTGGCTGGCACCTCCACATCGTTCAACCGGATGAATAGGCCTGCTTCATTTTGTTTTGCCCTCTGTACAAACTTAGTTTGTATTTCATAGTCTTATTTTTCTGGAAAACAGGTCACTCTGTTTTCCATATAAAAATTATTTCAATATCATCAATTTTACCTCTCCCTCTCCCCGTTGTCTTTGCCCTTGTTAACTTCTTTTGTGGTCCTATAGTGCCTTTTAGTATGGTTGGAGGAGCAAGTAGAAATAAATGGTCAATTGAACATTTTAAACTGAAAGTCAAGTTACTTATTCCTTCTTTTCCCTTTACTATAACATCCTGGGTGAGGGGTCAACTCTCTTGATTTTCAGGAATCTTGATTCTCCTGATGCTTTACCCCCTATGTTTCAGCCCTGGACTAAGGGCACATAGGAGTTATTAGGTAAGCATATATAGTGAATGTGGTGCCATTTGGAGAGAACCAGGGCACATAGGAGTTATTAGGTAAGCATATATAGTGAATGTGGTGCCATTTGGAGAGAACCAGTTATGAACTGGAGAACTAGAACTGCATTTTGGTGGAGAGGAATGGGAAAGGGTTGAAGAAAGAGTAGCTTTAGGAAAGGTTCCTCCTCTGATCTCTCTCTCTGGTGCATAAGGAGGCATGGAGAGAGGATATAGGAATAGCTCTGGTCGCAGAAACTTGGGAAATACCCTCATTTCTTGGTCTAGGCGGAGCCTGGCAAAAGGTTCAGGGAAAGTAGAAAAAGGAATAGTCATAAATTGCCCCTAAATAGTGCAAGGAACCAAGGTGGCTCACATCCAACGTCAATGCCATTGACACTATGATTAGAGAAGAAGCTTTTTTCATAACATGTAACACAGACATCTCAATGCAGGCCTGCCCTCTGACTCAAGACTGCTGATGTTGCACAAGGATGTGGAGTATGGGTTACACTTACATGTATGTGCTCACATGCATAAATCATAGGAACATAATTTGCAGAGGTTACTCTCTAGTTAACATACAGCTGTTCAATGCTTCATTAACATCTCCAAATGCCAATAGACAATAGGTAAAGATTTCTCCATCTCTGAGCGTCTCTAAATATCAGGAGGTATCTCTAAATTAGGAAAAATATTTTTCTCCACCTGCAAAGTTTCTTTGCACTGAAACACAAGGGACCAATTATTTCCTCACTTTGAAAACTTTGTAATAACTTAAAGCAATTATCTCCTTCTTAGATGGCGTGAACTTTCACTTGACTTGTACTAATACATCAGGGCACAAGATCATTCAGAATTTCCTCTTGACAGACTCTTTGCTGCAACTCTCCTAACCTCTGAATCATGGCCCCCTCCCTATCATAAGCCAAGCACACAAACCTTTCATTCCTACTCTCCTCTTCTAAAGTGATAAAGTTCTTGACTTCTGGGTTTGGAAATTGGTTTAAGATAAACAAATCACTCTATCA